TTATTATACTATAATTATCTATATTATATTATATTAAGAAGAAAAAATTATAAATTTGGATTTATTATTCTCTAAATATGAAATTGAAATAATATCTTAAATTTTTTAATTTATTTTATTTTATTTTATTTTATTATTTTAAATAAATATTTTCTGATAAAATTTCTCAAATAATTGAAGATTATTTAAAAATAATTTAACATAAAATATATAATTACTTTTCCTATCATTTTTAAAGCAAAAATATTTCTATAATACATATATATATATATTATGTGGTTCTGATTTAAATATTAAAATTTAAAAATATTGCAAAAGAGAGACTTATATATATTACATTATCATTAATATCATTATAAAATGATCATTAATAAAAGTCAAAATCAAATGAAATAATTTTGATTTCGGTACTCTATGATTTGTCATTATTCCTATTGCTTCTTTGCGATAACTGTGTTCATAGTTCCATGAACATTATGAAGTACGTGCTTCTAACATAAACGCATGCTGCATAATAAGATCATCAACGTGGGTCATCGGTAATCTACGCAGCGTTAACGAGAAGACATAGAAAATCAACGCGACGTGAAACGCGTTTGTATGCACAATATTAGAAGAATATGTTTGCTTTTATATATTGTTTCTTAATTTCAACTCTATTAATTTAAAATTTTTATTATTATTTATTTTTATTATTACTATTACTATTATTATTATTACTATTGATATCATTATCGAGATATGTCTAAATCGTATATATTAAATTTTGAAAATAATTCTAACTAAACTTTGTATTTATAATTCATACTTCATTACTTTCAACTTTGATAAGTTAAGTCAATTCCTAAAATGAAACTATTTTCATTAAATATATAAAACTATTAAAACAAAAATCATATTATTTTAAAGATATAAAAATAATCCTTTTTTTAAAAATCAATTTTATATGAAATAATTAATTAATAGAAATAATCAGAAATGCATTATATTTTTAATAGTAATATGTGATATATATTTAATTCTATTACTATTACAATAAACTCAATAATATTAAACATTATTTTATGAAAAAATATAATATAATTCTTTTGATTCAATACTTAAATGAAATAAAAAAATTTTTAAATTAAAACATAATATGTTTTATTCTTTATATAAATAAATATTAAAAATCTTATAAAAAATAAATACTCTTAATTTTAAATTGAGCATTGAAAGAAAAACTTCTTATAAAAAATTAATTATTCATTCTTAAGACAAAAGTAATAAAATAAAAAATAAGAGGCAAAGAGATTACAGTAACATTTTTAACATCAAAAAGGTATAAGTCTACTAGTAACGGAAAAACAACTTACCGGTAATGACGTCAGCTGTGGAAGGTAAGCCGGATCTCGAATTTCCCCCACGAGTAGTCGATCCGTGCGAGAATAATTCACCGCTTCAGTCTCGAGTGAAAATCACGTACATGTGCGCGCGTAATCACGCACACATGCGTACGCGTGCACATATGTGAGTATACCAACCGATCTATTTATAAATTCTATATCGACTTTTAAAAACTTTCGCGAAACACGCTACTCCACATTATACTGTACGTCGCGCAAACTTTTGCTTTTCTTCTCACAAGCTATTCCCTTCGTAGATTTTTTTTTTCTTTATCATCTCTGTTTTCTTTACACTACTACTGTCTTCTCTTCGTTTCTTCGTTGTTGCGTGTTATGTTTGTTTCTCGCTACCTCTTTTCTCTTATTCTTTCGTCGTTTTTATCTTCTTGCTAACTTACATACACTTTCATGCGTTCCATATCACTCGATATTATACACTTGGAACATAATCTAACTGATTTTTCAAATTTCTTTCTTCCGCTGTTGCTCCAGCGACGATTTCTATAGATAACAGTCGGAGAAATTTAAAATTAGTATCTAGTATTTAAATCTTCCCGCGGAACTGAATGTGGATAATATATAAGGAGTTACATTTTACGCGTGTAAAAATATACGCGATTTCTGTGTATAATTTTTGTTACAATTTTAAAAACATAAAAAAGAAGAATTTCGATTGTCAAAATCACATAAAATTCAAAATAAAACTTGTAATGAAACTGTATATCGGATTAAATTTATTCCATGCATAAAATATGGCTAGAAGTTTGAATAAATTTTTCTTACAAATTTTTTCTCGAAGCATATTTTCTATTTTTTTAAATATTTCAAGTATATTTATATTCTCACAATCATGTTTAAACTTAAAGGCATGCTATAAATTTAATTATACAAATGTAACTACAATTTACACAGACAATACACATATCGAAGGAACAAATTTCATGATTTAAGCACCAATTGTCTCAATATATGTATTTAGGAAAGTATACCTTTATTATTGTAAGAAAACGCGACGCGGCTTCTATACGACGAATTCTCGTTTGCATTATTCTTCCAACATTTTAATTGCGTATCATTATACGAAAGTTTCAATCAAAATAAAAGACAAGATTTTTTTTCTCTATCGATAACTAAGAGAAGAAAAATATGTAAAATAAACGAATGAATTGCGTCAGAGTTTGAGAAAAAGAGAGAGGAAACGAAGTGAAACAAAATGAAGTAGGAAAAAGGAAGGGATGAGGAAAAGGTGATCGCGAAAGATGCCGCGTTGCCGTCGCTGCGAACGCCAATTTTGTCTTCTTTTAACCGACTGACCCTATCACCGATTAGGTGGAGCGCGTTGCACTCCACTTGTTCTCACAACTTCCGCTTCAGCTGTTCGCACAAAGGTCCGCATATCTTTCAGTGCCCCGCTCTCCACGAGAGTCTTGGTGGCTTCTATCTCTCTGTCTCCCGCTTTCTCTTTCTCTACTAGCACTCACAATCAGTACGAGTACACCTCACAGAAATGCAACTGCTCATCATTGCCATATGGCTTACACTTAACTTGCACATTATATTCCACTTGTGATTTCTTGTTGCCGTTAAAACCATTGTCATATACGTTTTTCTTACTGTTACTAATGTCATGTGTACTGTTGCCGAGATTGTTATTGCTATTGATACTGCTTTCACTATTAATATTGTTAGGACACTCGTTATCACTCCCACAAAGAAATAAATTTATCGACAAACTTGCTTTCATCGCGCAGTTTTATTATATGCTATCGACAAATCTTTATTTTGCAGTTATTCTCAAAGCGAGATTTCTTCGCTTATAGCAACCTAGCACAGTGCGTGTACGATGCACGCACCGTGCACGCTTCCCGCACACGTGAGCCAGCGCCACCAAGAGAAAGAAATTGGATGACTTTCAAGATGGCAGAACGAGAAACATACGCGCACAGTTTAACATATACACAATCACGTACACACATACGCACATTTGCGAATCATCACAAAACTGGTCGTGCGAAAAATATTCAAATCAATATTCTTTTCTTCTTAAAGTATATATCATTCTATTGTTTCTTTCACTATTATTAATCTTCTTCTGCTTCCTTTATGTATTTATTTCGTTTCGTTTCCATTCGTTTTTTAATACAGGCTTTCTAATACATATTTGAAATTAATAATTCTGTTTCTTCCTAATCTTTTTATTGTTGCGCAAATTACTTCATCGATCGAAGCATTTTATCTTTGGATATCATTCTTCTTATATTTTTGTGTAGTGATAATGGCAGCAACAGCAATAGTCCCGGCAGTATTCCTGTAAACAAAATAATATTTATTATATATCTTATTTTTTTGTTATTTAATATATAAAAAAAAATAGATATCAATACATTTTGATATCAATGTCAGAATTATGTCAATAATTTTGAATTAATTATTAATTATTTAAAATTTATTATTTATTTTTTATATACTATTTTTATTTTATATATTATTTTTTTAAATTATATTAGTATAATATTCAAATATAATTTTGAATTTTTTTAATTTTATTAATATCTATTTGCAATTTATATAAATAAGTGCAGAGTCATTATTTAATATTGAAAATTAAAATTTATAAATACTAAATATTAATATTTTACAATTCCATAAAAAATATTTTCTTATATCATTTTATATATCTTATTACTTTATTTTTTAAAATGTTTATAAAATTTTTGAAATATTCAGTGCTTCTAAAATAAAAAAAACTATATTCAATACAATAAAAAAAAAAAAAAAATTAAGAATATATACATTCTCATTCGTAGAGAAAAATATTATATAAATATAATATAACGGATATTTTCTCGATTTTTTAAAAGTCTAAAAATATATTATGTTTAAATTTTTTTTCATATAATTAAAACCATATGTGTATTCATATATTAATTGTTGCATTTAACAATTGACATTTATAAGATTATTAAATAATAGTATTTAATTATTAGTTACTTAACAGTACCAGTTAGTTATTTTAATTAGTTATTAATGTTTAATTTAATGACTAATATATTATATAATATATGACTATAATATATATATATGACTACTATTTTATAGTTGTGCTATAAAACAAATATACATAATTTTTATTTCAAAATAAAAATTAAATATATATAGAATTTTCTTCGCACATATTATTAAATATATTAAAGCATTTAAAATCAAATTGAGTAGAATAAAAATGATCGATCTTCATAATATACTATATATATAATAATAATTTAATAATTTTATACTAATAATTTTTGAATATTTACACAAAAATTTATATCAGAAAATATAAAATATATTCATATAGAAGATAAATAAATATCTCATTAAATAATTATAAATAATGCAAAATTCACATTATTAAATAATATCTTTAATATGTTTAAATTTTCTATAGATCTAAAGTAAGAATAGAGGTCTTTTACCTTGCAAAATAAAGATATAGTTATGTTTTATGAAGCACATTTATAAATCTTGACTTCTAAAAGATTGCGAAAGAGTAATGTTCGGCCAAAAAGATGGATAAACATAAATAAGTTACATCAAAACGCTTTCGTAACGAGATATAATGATAATAATCTCATAAATAAACAAATTAAATAAATAAAAAAATGATAATAAAAATAATTGAAAAAATTAAAATATTATTCATCATACGAATATATATATTTATCATCATAATTTGTTAAAATATCAAAAATAATTTAATTTCAATATAATTAGAACAATTTCTAAAATAAAATAAAATTTCAACAAACAAAATATAATTTTTTTTAAGTTTCAAATAAATATATAACAATTTGTGTTTAATTTAAATAATACTGTAATGTACTTATAAAAAAAAATATGATTTTTATTATTTACTATTTTCACAAATAGTCGGAAAATATAAACAAATTCTATAATTCATTATACAAAACTATAAAAAATAAAAAAGACAATAAAAATAATTATCATGTTAACTTCTGAAATGATAATTGAAACAATCTCTTTTAATATAAAAAATTAAATTTAATTCGTATTTTATTTAACTTGTGTGTGTGTGTGTGTATAAAAATTTTAACAATATATAAAGTAAATTTGATAAAAATACTTCTTGTATATATATATATATATATATATTATATATATTTTAATAATGATTTTTTTGAAAAATATTTTTATATGTCAAAATTAGTAAAATTTATATTAAATTCGAACGTATATAGCTAACAAAAAATATGTTGATCCTTGTTTTTTCCGATTATATGAACATGTGTAAGTAATTTTATTGTAATTAACATTGAATGTATTGCAAATGTGTATACATTATAAAATTGATTTCTATAATACACGCATAAAAATAAAAAAAAGATCATATATAAAATTGTTATTTTTTATTCATGAAATTCATACACAAAGTTTTATTCAAGATATAATTTGAAAAAAAATATTAGTTAAATCAAATTAATTATGAAAAATACTTTTCAATAATTTAAATTTTTACAAATATAGAAAGAAAAATTTTAAAAAAATGCATTAATATTTTCGAAATAACTGATCTTCATTAATAATAAATAATAAATATGAACAAAGGTTGTATAAAATCTGTTAACAAATAAAATGTTACCAAAAATGATTAAAAATATAGTCTTTTAAATATACATATATCTAATATATATGAATAATATAATAAAATATATATATGAATAATAATATAAAATATATGATATTCCAGTTAATATTAAAACTAATAATATCAATACAGCAGGTTATAAAGTATATACAAGAATTCATTCCATTCCCGCTGAATACATTCCATCCGAATTATTATTATCTTGCTAAACCTAGAACGGTCGATAGCTCCGCAGTCGTTGTGACTCAAAGTCGGCCCGAATCGAACCGAGAAGAGTCGAATCAAACCGAACTGGACTGTAGTTTTGTAGCGCGTCAACGCGTAAA